ACGCATTCCCTGGCACACTTGAAATTAGTGTAAATTAGTTTTGGTGTTCAAAACTAATTTGGAAATTATAGGCAAAGATGTCCAACTTATATGAACTGATACTGTTTTCTTTTGAGATTGCTCACTGCTGCTCCGTCCTTGACTTTGCAGCAGCGCCACAAAGACTGACATACTGTATGTTCAGGCGGTAAGATGCCCTGCCGGTAACACCACCAGAGACAATAGATCCCACTGGGTGAAGTGTTTTCTCTTCTGTCAACGATTGCCAGAGTCATGAAATATCAAGCTGATTCAACATGGCCTGGAAATAGAAAAACAGATTTCTTTCCTTCCAATCTCAACTTTCTTGACTTTCAGTAATCAGTCACTTGCCACTACAAGCTTCCTTGCTTCTTCTTACTTCCTGAAACCATGACATAATCCAAACAACAGTCATGTTCAATTAGTACTTAGACTGAAACAGGAGGTCTGAACTCCAACTACTGGGAAATACATATCGTAATCACTATTCTTCAAGGAGGGTCCATTTATTGGGAAGTGTCCCAGACCATCAATCTAAATGATAGAGACAGAAGCAAATTAGAGCATGGCACAATCTGACAGATACATCAGGCTAATTTAAAAGCCCCTACCATCATATTCCCAAAGTGCACAAAATATCAGCTTCCCTTTGACAGTTGGAGCTTTAGGGTAACAAGATTTTGTTTTTTGTTTTTTAGAAACGTGTAAGATCTTGAACAAATGCGACCTCAAACGAAACAAGCTACATGCAAAACTCAGCAGAATGCTGCCTTGCATACGAGTGGGCATGTTGCCCCCTCTACAATACCATTCAGAACAACAGCACAAGATCATTATATCCAACAAGAGACATTTCACCCTCAGGCCGTATCCCAGGGTAAAAATAAAGAAACTGAATATGAGGAGGAAGTTACAAATAATTGCCTTTTTGATTTGCTTTACAGTGAAAATACACAAGCTCATTCCCAAGTGTTACATCTCTGTTTTCTTTCAATATTATGAAACCTGCTTCAAGTCCCAGGCCTCAAATTAAGCCTTAAATTTCACTCGGATTTTAGAATATACACAGCAGGGTTTGTCACGAGGCTTCGTCTGTCACGGTCACTCAGGCCCTGTTTTAATCCTAACAATTAAAGGATTTAACCAATCAATCTCCTGGCGTAATTTCCTCCATCCGTGCAGCAGCCCAATGGGGTTTCAATGCAGCCTGCGGAGGTGAAGGTCAGAGACCTATGGGATGTGTTCAGGAAGCAGCAGCACACAGTGCAGCCTGTAATGAATATCATGGGCGTCAGAGTAAACATAACACCACCGGTCACAGCTCAAATCACACCCTCTGTAGAATATTTTGCATTCCCACCTAAGTGTGGACAATCAGTTAGTGTAGAGGCTTATTGTATCACATGAATCAATATGCAACACATGACAAAAAGAAAAACATACTAAGACCGTGAAATGAGGACTAAATAGTCTGAAAAGCTGATTTATATTAGTTTGGGTTTATAAGAGACAATAATGTTTCTGTTAGTGAGTGACTTGACCTTTGAGCAGTGAAGGAAGACAAAGCGAAGGCTGTGTGTCAGATCTTGGAAAGGGCATCAGACCTGCAAGTGTTTAAAACAGGCACACAGACATTTAGATTTATTTTCTTTAATCACAGATCAGCCCTCCTGTCAAGTGGTCGAGCCATACTGAGGGAAAAATGTTGGGCAGAGAGATCTTACACACAATATGTCTATCTATACCTCGCCATGGGCTGTAACAACAGAAGTGAACCAAAGTAAAATTGAATCAGTCAATTAAACATGAACCAATATTCCCACAATGGGCTGCTCCACTGTCGGGTCATTTTTCCATGTAAAAAGTCAATATCCCACGTGAGGTAAAAACACGAGAGGTCTGGAACTTTTCCTGAGTTTTTGGTCTTCTCGTGAAGCTAAAGGTCACATGTTACCCTCTGAATTTTCGTAACTTGGCCATCTGTGATTTCAGGAGTCCTCTATCAAAAGCAAGGAGCCAGAGTAAGAAAACGCCAAAACACAAAACTATTTGCCGAGACAAATTCAGAGCAGAAAGGGAAATATTTGGTTAGTTCGCCGACAAACGGTCGGCGCTGTTGGAGCAGTCCATAGTTGAAGTAGGGGGGAACAGCCGGTCCTTTGTTTGTGGACAGAATGGTGCACTCTGTGGGGTCACTGCAGGGGGCCCAACATCACAGACACAAGGACACACATACCCACACACACATGATTGCCTGCACATGCAAGCGCACACATACACAAAAACCATAACATTCCTCTGCTTCTATGAATGTTTTATTAACCATGTGAATGGGTCACAGAGTTACACCCCCAAGCATAACTACAGTCTCCATAGTCACACACACTTGCTCTTTCTCACACTTGAACCAAGCAAAGTTGAGGACATTCACATATTGGGATTTCTGGTCCAACCTCACCATTTGTGTCTGAGTCTGAAACCAGGATCTGAAATCCAAGTTGCAGGTAATCTGTGTTTTGTGAGCTACTGGAATGCTGGATTCTGACTTCTGTTTTTACTGCCAAAGCAAGTGAGTCTTGAACCCACTTCCTACAATCATAAAAAACAACAACATAATTTCTCATTTTACTGATGTGGAATTTGTGGATTTATGTGAACAGAAACAAAGCCACAAGTTTTGGAAAAGATGCACACGCCTTTTCTTCCCAAACCTCAAAGATTCTGACCCTTGCAATCATTAAAATAAAAAAGAAATTCTTTTGAACACAACCCACTGCCGTGTGAGCAAATGTACAAATGATTATGTTTAAAAAGGATTTACAAATTTAACAAGGAAATGATACTCAATAATTGGCCCATGTTAAATTCCTTGTTAACACTCAGGAATATCAATCCCACCCGCTGCTGTATTCCAGAACCAGAATAGCCACATCAAACACCATGTAAGGTGTTAAAATAGGAGCATTTTCAGAACCAGTCAGTCCTTCTACCACCCACAGATAGACATACATACACACACGCATGCAGGGACACATTGATTCCTTGCACTTCTCCACACCCCCACAGAGACTCGAACACAACTCCTGTTTGGTTTGGACGGCCCTATGAGGGGACCTCCATGTTGAACAAACTATAACAGTCTGTCCCTGTAACACAGGCCGAACAGTCAGTTACAAAGGGCTGCTGGAGAGATGAGTGGGCTGAAATATCTGTATCTGTCAGTAATGAACCATGCTGTCAATCATCATACCCTCTTTCCTGAATTTTTTTTTTTTGCTGTCCTTACAGTAATGATGGAGAGAGGAGCACTATAGTAGATAATGCCCAACATTAATCTCACACTGCCCTACATATCCAGGGTCAGAGGTCAAAGCCATTTCATGTTGACTTCTTCATGCTTGAACTTGTATTAGACCATCACCTCCCCATTTAGGCCCTAAAGTCTTTATTTTTTCTAGCGTTTTAACTCCCCCATCCACTTAAATATGACGCATCACACACATTTCAGACCTTTTAATACCTAAAGGCTAAAGTCGTGTGTGTTGTTGAAGCTGTCCAGTTTTATTTCTGGCTTCAATAAAACAGTCATGTGTTGCTGTATTGATGGGCTGTTTAATGACTTGCTAGTAATGGAGGATGAACGTTCACCATTGGTTTTTAAATATTATAACCTCCAGAAAAACAACAGCGCTTATGTTAATATTGTATGGCCCCAAGTTTTGTTTTGCAAAGTCATCTTTTTCGAACATCACTCTGAGCCATCACTGGATTTTGCTCATATTGCGACATAATTTCTCTTCAAACGTGCCACTTATTCATGTATTCAAATAAATAACCACAGCAGTTAATCATGGTTTGTTTTTCGACAGAGCATAAATCAACACTTATGTGTTTGTGCGCTAAGACAAAGCTGTAAAGCATGCCACAGTAGCCAGCTTCCACTGCCACAAAAACACGTGTGTGCATACACTCTGCACACACGCACTTCCATACGCATCTTGAGAATAATCCAGATTTAAGACCTGTCGCTGGTGTGGAACACAGTGAAAATGAGTATCCTGTGGGGCCTCTGGGGGCCAGAGAGGTACTAAGTAGCTCTCTCTGTGTGTGCATGCAAGCATGTGTACGTGAGTGTGTGCATGTGAGAATGTTTGTGTGCAGAGTGATGGAGAGTGACCTGAGAGGCCCAGCTAGTTACAGCCTCTCTGTTGGAGACCACCACTTTCACAAAACAAGCATTGTTGGTACAGAACTCCAGACACCAGAGACACACACACTGGAAATAACGCGTACGCACACAAACATACAAAAATGCAGACACACCACAGATAAAACTATGGCAGGTTTGAAACCCAGAAGAGATGACGCTCAGTTTGGAATGAATAAAATCTAAATAGCCCTCAGAAGTCCCTCAAAATATTTTACACAGCTGTTTAGCACACACACACACACACACACATCATCTCAGCAGACTGTACAAAATCTGAAGCCTTGTCCTAACAATAGCCCTCGGGTAGTTGGTCAGACTATTATTGTAGGTGTTTCTGTGCTAATTATGTGTGACTGAGAGCACGTCAAAAGCAGTTACTGGAAATAGGAGGTGAGATGGAAACTGAGAGGTTTAACTGTTTCACCCGCATTAACAAATACAGAGTTTGTTGAGTTTCAGCGTGCGTTTTGTCAACCAGTCTGGAACAAACTGGCACAAACATTGTTTCAAAGGGGCCTAAAGCGGATGAATAAATGTCCTCGCCACATCTATGCAAAATCACACATAAGAGATAAGCACCATCGTCGTTATTGAGATCAGCAGGAGCATATGGAGCGAGGAGGGTCAGCATCATGACCTCCACTTCTGCTTCTTAACTCTGCAGAAACCTCGTTGGCTGACAGGATTACACGTCAGTGCCTCACCGTTCCAGTATAACCTCCTGGAGCCTCTGGCGGTCACACAGAGTGTGAGAGCAGGAGCCACAAAACTGTTGCCCGGACCAGCCCATTCAGCATCCAGGTCCCTCAGCCTGACGGAGACTGCGCACCGAGGACGCCGCGGAGAGGGAGGGCAGAGGCTGAACGTTTGCGCACAGCTTTTCAAGCCCGGATAGTTTTTTTTCCACTTTTTCCTTTTATATTTTTTTACAGGGTTTCTTTTTTTAAAATTGAACGTTGAATTGAAATAGAGTTCTCCTCAGCAAGAAACAGACAGCACTAAGAATGATTTCCTCGCACCTGTTCCTGCTGATGTTGAACTCCGTCCTGACCACCGCGGCGGTCAGCAGTTTCCAACAAGTGTCGCCGAAACCATTCACAAGTGACCTGGATGAGGACATGGTCTCCCAGCATATGTTCAGATTGTACGAGAAATACAACAAGGAGAATCGCCTCAAAGAGGGAAACACTGTTAGGAGTTTCAGAGCCAATCGAGGTGTGTGAACAACCTGTCTACAATACCCAGACGCGTGATGTGGCTCCCTGTAAGAGCACTCCAATTTATCATTTGAGATTTATAAAAAATATATATATAGTCATGTGTAATTGCAGCGGTAATAAATTGATGTGCAGTCCCAGATGTCCTCTCGGATGGTTATTAACGGTGCTGGCAGTGTGGCTGCATGGCTCAGCCTGAGGCTCGAAATAGGTGTGATTGTTTGGGAGCCGTCTGAGAATGCCTTCTAAATACTTTTTGGGACGCTGTGGCTGGCTGGGTTTGCGGTAGCAGCTGCGTCCCTTGTGTGCAGAGGCTGATCATTTTCCCCAAACAGACGCACGAGAATGCGTGGTATTCCCAGCGCGCCGCGCACAATAGAACAGTATACAGTAGAACATCAGCAGAGCCGTGTTGTAGTGGCGGCTTCCTGTTGTTCCCCGGAGGGCACGAGTGAGTCCACATCCTGGAGTCAGGAGGCTTAACGCACTGTCGTTCCTCTCTGTCTGAAGCAGTTTTTGCAAACACAACTCATAGACATTTATATCCCACGAAGTTCTCAGATATCATATCATAACACGTGTATATTTTCACTGCAGCTGCTTGGCGTAATCCAAGGCGAGATGTAAGAGTTTTTCCTAACAATGTAAGACCTGTTGAAACAGTTGATTTCGCCCCGGTGCCTGAGCAGACAGTGTTGGCTGTCTTAAGCTATGGGGAAGCTTTAACAGAGACTGGGGAAAGCACTTCCATATGTAGGCTGGTTTCAAGGTAAAGTATATCTCAGTCCATACATCCGCTGGACTCTAATACAATGAACAATAACTCTGCTGTTTAACTTAATGTTCATCATGAATATGCAGCTCTCTGCACAACCCCCCTCAATGCCTGCCACTTAGATCCCCCAAGTATGGTTCTTCTTAAGGGCACCCTCTGAAAGGTCTGAAGTAGGGCTTCTGTCACGCAACACAAAGTAAAAGAAAAGCATTAAAATGTCTGTGTACTAAGTATTTAAAGGTTTTAGGGGGAGTTGGCTCATTAATGTCCCTCTTTCTTAACCCATTTCCTCTGGATTTGGGGTTATAAAACTATGTTCTTCCTGTAGAGTCATTCTTTCTGTTAGAATATTTTTTTGTAAAACAGGTAAGAAATGTATAACAGAAAGCTCCAGTGTCTCAGGTCAAGAAAGGTTGCGTCAGTGACTGTACTGTATAATCTATAACATTGAATGTTTCAATCCTATAATAGTAGCCATTTAGTTTGGTTCTAAAAGCCAAATAACAGCCAGATGTTCAACATACCTTAGAATAATTTATTCCCCCAAAACAAGAGCACAAAGATTATTTTTTTTAAAGATTCACTTATAGATGAAAACAAGAATTTGTCTGTTCGATAACCTGCCTGTTGACACTGACTGTTTACTGGCTATCTTTGCAGACTCTACTGACCACAGGATGATGTACCAACTCAACCTCACAACCCTCCAGGACACAGAGGTCATCCTCTCGGCCACATTTCACTTCCTGTTTGAGACGAACCCACATCCAAAACCCTGGTTCTGTAAAGGCTTCAAGAGCCCATCCTGTCGCTCCGCGGCCATCCACCCATCTCCACCCATCAGATTGATACTTCGCTCTGTCCTTTCTGGGTCAGAGGGGTCCTTTCTAGGCAATGTGACCTTCCACCCTCACAGGAGAGGGGTGTGGCAGATGAAAGATGTGACCCAGGTCATAAAGGAAGCCCAGGACAGGGGTCAGTTGTTGGTGTCACTTCAATTGGATTTAGGGCAGCAGCCCCATAAGAAATCAGAAGAGAATCTGCCTCCCGGCAGCATGCCATACCTGTTACTGTATGCTGATGACCAAACCTTAACAGAACCCAACAGTGTGGCAGCAAGCCTCCAGAAATATGACCCATTCAACGAGGGAGATTTCCTTCCCAGACAAAACTCCTCACCAGAGCTGATAGGACGTGTAAGAAGGGAAACACAACTGAGCTCTGACCCCGTCCAGAACAATGAGCTGCCTGAGGTAGACTACTGGCTCAGTGGATACAGGAAAGATGACCAGCTGGACAGTAGTTGGCACTTGGCTCTCAAACCCAAGCCTAAATCAGAGAGAAATGAAAAGAAGAGAAAGACCCAAGATGATACATATGAACCGCAAATGGTCACAGAAGAAGCATCACAAGAGGCCCACACAGAAGATTCACCGGCAAAAAAACTCCAAAACAGTCACTCTGCCAAGGACAGGCGAAAGAATGAGCGGAAAGAGGAGGGAAAAGGTGGAAAAAAGCACAAGGGAAGTGCTAAGACTCGGTCACCTGTTCTGAATTTTGACGAGCAAACCATGCGGAAGGCCAGGAGACGGCAATGGGGCAGCAGCCAGCACAGAGGCTGCTCCAGGAGGAACCTCAGAGTGGATTTTGCAGACATTGGCTGGAGTGAGTGGGTCATAGCTCCCAAGGCCTTTGATGCATACTACTGCTCTGGCACGTGTGGTTTCCCCATGCCACAGGTGAGAACACCAACTGACTATGCTGTATTTTGTTATTCACTTTCACGTCGACTTCATCTAGTTAATCTGCGTAATTTTAATGAGTAGCCCCCATCCTTTTGCTTGAGATGTCTCATATGAATCAATCTCCTGCACTTAAACCCCACCAGGTGCTGAGGCCGTCCAACCACGCCACAATCCAGAGCATAGTGCGAGCTGTCGGGATCATCCCCGGGGTTCCTGAGCCCTGCTGCGTCCCGGAAACCATGAGTCACCTGGCAGTGCTATTCAAAGACGAATCCAGGAACCCAGTGCTCAAGATTTACCCCAACATGTCCGTCCAGTCCTGCTCCTGCAGATAAAAGGCCGGTGAGGGCGCAGCACTAATAAACAGGATTGACTGTGTTGTAGGCAGAAACATACATCTATTAAGTAGTTTCCTGATGCTGTGACTCTCTGCCCAGCCATAATCCTGGAGGGATAGGGGCCGTAGAGAAATCCAGACGATCGCCTCAGTCCTGCAGCAGCAGAATTGAAGAGACACATTGTCTGGCATCTGCAGGGGCTGGAGGAACACATGTAAACGCTCCACGCGTCTGAGACACTCAGCAGTTTTTGTACTGTGTTTGAAATTATGTTGAGGAGGTTTGTAGACAGGGGCACAGAAGGGATGCTTTCCTTTGAACGGAAGAATGTTTTGCCGACAACTCACAGTGAGTTGGAATCACATGTTGGAATACAAAGACTACATAATTGAATAAAAACTTTTACAGTGGGCCAACCGGCTTCTCACACAGCAAGACACACAGAAGAGATTATGAAAGCTTTTTCACTTTGCTCATACTTGTTTACAACAATACTTCCACTTTGTAAATGCGATGTTCACCTTTTGGAGGGGGCGGTTATGATACATTCTTGCTGTTTTTGTAAAGACAAAGAAATAGAAAAAAGGTAACTTTTTCATGAACTGTAGAGTGCCCCTGGAATTCATTTTCACTCATCAAACCCTCAGAAGTCTTCATGAATGTTAGAATGAAACCATAAGTATTTTTCTATTTTTGAATGTGAAACATGATTAGAAATGTCTCATATTTACCAGATTTTGTAAAAGTATAGGTTAGATGACTGTTTTATACACATGTGTTGATTAAATTATGAAAGGTTAGTCTTCTATAAATTAGAAAACATAAGTAACTTAATCTAGCAATCTATCTGGAATATTATTGTTTCACACATCTGATATTGTTCTTTGAAGTGCATTTCTGGGATTAACTTCTCTCTCAATACAAGAAAAAAGGACAAACTAAAAGGCTAAAAGGGCACCATTGTTCCAATTTAGCTTTCTACAAAAGCAGGATGAGCCCACTCCAAGATAACCAACAACACTCCTTGAAAACTCTTTGAACCTGTTATTACCCCACGCTGAAGGCTCATATTTCTGGTGTAAAACAAATAAAGTGAAGGATGCATTAATGCTTGATGGAGGACATAGGTATGCACCTATCAGACCATCAGCCACTTGAACTTCAAAACATGGAAAATGGTGCTCTTCCCCTTTTGCTTCCCATATGACCTCGTTACTTCACCAAACACGGGACATTTTCAAGTGCCGTTTTCCTCCCAATAGTTTCTCTTCTCTGAACCTTTTCAACCCCGCTACTTGCTGCTTTTATTCAAGGAGGAAGATGACACGTGGTGCCCAAACAATGTAGCGAACCGACAGGGAAAGAGGAAACCATTCGACTATTAACCCATTACTTTGTGGTTTGTTTGTTTTGAGCCTCAAAAAGTTGGCAGAGTATTTTCACATCTGTTTTCAGCAAACAGATGCTTTGAAGTTTGTCTCAACTGGACACAAACTTGGTCTAAAAGGTGGAGACATTTACTTGTGGAAAATACTCAAAAGAATGCATACTGATTAAGTTGAACAGGCCAGCACTATGCTTGTAACCTATGCATGACTGTATGGCATTTACACAAATTGTCTACAAATTATTCAGTTTTGTCTTTTCTCCAGTGAATACTCATCATGTGCTGTAGCCTCATCTCTTAGGAATGATCGTAAAATAACGTATTCACGATTTCATAATTATCTTCACAGATAAACTTCATAGGAAATTAGGGCCTGGTCATTTAATATGAACAACAATTTGGTTTTCATTGGGTTTATGTTGATTCGTTAAATCTACAAATAACTTGATGAAAAGCCTAAACTTCTTTATTGCATGGACACTCTCTCTTTAACTGTCCTCATCAGATGAACCGTTTGTTGTTCAGGGATCAGATAGGGATGGTGGCAAAGAATTTAAAAAAATATTATTTCTGAAAAAAGAAAACGGCAGAGATCTGGTCTCACTTCATAGGAAAGAGTGGGGTCAAACACGTCAAGAGTGATTTGATTCAAGGCTACAAATTAATTCAATGAAATAAATAAATAAAACTAAACGTATCTAGGAAATCAATGGCATGCAATAACACGTTAGTCACATAATGCCCTGCTGTTTTATTTCAACATGACCTAATGATATGGAAACTAATAAGTCTAAAAAGATCCTTCAATTTATGTGTGATGATGATGTAAAGAGACCAATGAGAGAAGAGAGAAACGTCCAAAATTCATGATTCAGTTTTCTCCAGTCTGAAGAAGTGGAAATGTTCTGCCACTATACCAGCCAACCATTTTACATCTGCACTATTTATGGTCTAGCCTCCATTTAAACTACAGTGATGAATGTAATTAGGGCCATTATAAATCATGTTTACATTATATCCAGGCTTCAAAGTAGGCCAGCCCAGCTATAATGAACACATCCATGGGCATTTTTTTCCTCATTTCCTAACTGATCTGCTTTACAGTCCGAACCCACAATCAGCCATTAGAAAGTGAACCCTGTGTCAACCGCAATCATGGTCACTAGAGAGCCCTTTCAATGGTTTGTTCCAGCCAAGAAAACCACTGAAGTCTGAGCTCCAATGCCCAATATGTTAAACTAAAAATAATAAAAATGAGGCAAGTGGGGAACCAAGAACAATATTTGTTTTTCCATATGATGATGGTCCATTTAAAGGAGAGCAATGAAGCCATTATTAGGCAACAGAGGATTTTCTGTGTCTGGCTAAAATAGCCTTTTCCCGTTATGCTTTCTGAGTTTAGGGAGGTAATAGCACTGTTCGTTGGGACATATCATTAATAGAGTGACATTATGTCTCCTGATCACCTATTCAATGGTGTGGGCTCCTAGTTGTTCTATTTAAAGCTCTTAGTCTGATTTTTGAAGTCATAAAATCTATTTTAACCTATTTCCACTTACCTCATTATTCTGTGAAGAAAAAGGTGAGGTAATGGTTCAAAATAAATACTGAAAGTGAGTGGTAACAAAAATTGCTTCTTTTTTCTTTTCACCTGTACATGTTACTGTTTTTTTCTGTAAATGTGAGAAATCATCTTACTGATGATTATATTTTATGTATGTTTTATGTTATGTCTCATTCAAATAGTACACCAAAATGTTCGCTATCGCATTTTAATATCAGACAGATTTCAGATAGGTGCCTAATCAATTCCCTACATCAACTATATTGTTTTTATTATAGTTTGGCATGACATGTATACTATATATTTTGATATTATGTCTAATTATGCAAATGTGGTGCTGGATAATAAAATTAGCACAAATTTGCTTCCATAGAAAGATAACTTTAAGACTGAATAATGCCAAATCCAATTCTCTTTCAGGGTATTATTTTATTCATCTTTACATCATTATCCAAATACTGCCAAGAGCAGTGTCGAGCAAAATAAACATTTAATCTTCACAAAATCATTTTTTGGAAACGGTGTCAAATTTGAAGAAAAGACATATGCCTATTAAGTACTAGAAACATTTGTTAAAGCATAAGTGTGGGATAAATTGTCTTCCTCGTAACTGACACAATCCTGTAATCAATCTGGAACGTATACTGACTTCCCCACATAGGGATAGATTTGGTTTTAGTCGCCGTCTCTTGGAAAAACTAAACACTGACAACCTTTAATCTGACCCAAAAGGCTGATGGTTGGGATAAAAAAAAAAACATATACTCGACATAATTTTCATTTGATGTTTTTTGATTTCCAAATGAATGTGCAAGCTGACTCAATCCACAGATCAGAGCAGAGAAAATCTGATGATAGAAGCTGCCACAATCATGAGCTGTCCTCGAGATTCCTCCGCTTGTCTTCCCTCCTGATCTCTCTTAAGGCACAAAACGACCATCAAATTGACAAAGATCCAGGGAAATGGGACAGAACCGCAGTGGGATCAGCTCAACGCGTACCTCTATCGTCATCTAGTGGACAGAACGTGATGACCACGTGTATAGCTATTTTACAGCTACCTACATTCACTTACATAGGCTACACCAAAGTCTCTAGGCTTAAATAAGAGCATAGTCTTTTTTTATATATGTATATATAAGAGTATTTGTCCATTTCCATCTCAGTTATGAGAAGTCATGTGTCTGGAGAGGTGGTGCCGCTCTCTGAAGTATTCGTGGCAGATCGGACAGGTGAGGTTCTCTTCCCTCCTCCGCCTCACCTGAGACTCCGCTGCGAACTCCTTCTTGTGATGAGAGCGCATGTGGAAAACCAGGTCTGACGTCATGCGGAACGACAGGTTGCATTTGGCGCACCAGTTCTGAACCGACACGCCAAATGAGGTAAAAGTCGGTGGGAGGATGGTGAGGGAGGACGTGCCCTGCAGCTGCGCGCCCACGTTTCTGGACCACTGCTCCGGTGCGTAATGGAACGTGTTGCCCAGCGCAACTTGAGAGTGTACGGACTGCAAGTCGGTGCTCAGGATGCTGGATGCCATCAGATTGTTGTATCCCAGAGCAGTCCTGGGGGGAAAGGCGTCGGACATCTGCTCCAGGCGTCTGGAGGGGGCTGCTGGGGCGCTGCTGACGTGGGCCTGGGGTTCCAGAAGGGAAGTTCTTTTGCTCGGTTTGCAAAATGCGCTTTTTTGCTCACGCTGATTGTTTGACAGGACCAGAGAGAACGCGCTGTAACTGCCCGAATGAACACAGGGACCTTCTCCCGTGTTCTGTCTTCTCTCCGTGTCCTCCTCTCTGTCGTGCGTAAAAGTCACGGTGGTTTTCCCAGCCTCGCTCAAATCGTCACTTTTACGTCCCACAAAATCCGTTGTGACTCTTTCGGGTTTCTGTTTGTCCTCGGGGGAAGAGGCGCCCCCTCCTGCCTGGTCGTACCCCTTATTTAACTGTGTTATATTGTCGTCGTTTGAAATATTCGTCTTTTCCAGCAGAACTGTTTTTCGCCACTTTGGGTGAAGAATTTCCTCATACCTCCTCTTTCTGGGGGAAATCTCTGCATCCTCGTTCATGCTGGATTTTTTGTGCTCCAAATCTCTGGCGATGTTGTGGAAATCGGTCACCCGGTGTTGTCTCTTAATTTCCACATGCTTGTGCTCGTAAAGCTCGCGCCCCCAAGTGTCACTTTTTTCTTGGGCACACAAGAATCGATGAGCCACGAAGGGGTACTCGTGTCTGAAGACCTGGTCACATCGGCCACATCGGAATTCTGCAAGAGAAGAAACAAATCTGTGACCACAATTACCAGATAAATGCATATTTCGGGCCACACAAAAGTTATATAGTGGTTCTTCATTTATACTTTTTTATTAGGATTATATCCCCCCCCCCAAAAAAAAACATCTAGACCTCACACTACGCTAAAGCTCTGCCTCACCTTCCTTAGATCCTTTGGTTATGTCTGTGAAGCCCAGCAGGTGAGACAGCTCCTGGTCGTACCACACCAACAGCTCTTCCTCCGGCCGTATGTCCCGTGTGGTCCGCACGTACAGCTGGCCCTCTTTGAGGAAGGCCTCTGTGTTCTGCTCCTCTGCGTTGCGTGCAGCCTGCACGAGCCGCAGCCAGGAGAGCACCAGGGCCGAATTGCGCATGGCATCTGGGTCCACCTGTTGGCAAGAAATTCCCATTTTTAAATGTGACTTTGACCATGAGTAGTTCCTTGGTTTGATTGAATTTATCTGCATTGTTAGTTGTTCAGCTCATTGATTTTTAAAGGGCACAAAAACAAGGAAAATGTTGTTTAGAAGCCAAAACCAGCTAGAAAAAAAGTTATTCAAAAATACTTACATGTCACAAAATCAAATCAAATGTGTCATCAATAGCTTATGGAATGTTACCCTCTGTTAGAACAAATCTACTAAGTGTAAAGTCCTTAGGTCCATGTGAGTGACTCACCCTAAACACGCAGGATTTGGCTCTCTTGTCGCAGGATTTCTGCGCAATGAAGGCGATAGTTTCGTAGAAAGTGCTTTGGAGCACACATGGACCAAAGCACGTGCCTGCAGGGATGCTCCGCGTCACCACCACACTGGTGTAGAGATCCACTGGAGGCTGCTGGAGGAATTTACTCTCAGCGGTCCAGATGGACCGAGCCAAGAGAGTGTGATCCATTGTTAGGCTGGAATAGAACACATCCGGATCGAGTTTAGTTTTTAACCGAAGGGGGTGGATGGGGACATTATATTTCATTAGGCTTAATTACAGTTAGATTCAAACTATAGAAACTTTAACATTTGTAATTAATCGCATGTGATGTAGACCAACAGAACACAGAAGTAGAAACAGTTGCTCTTGGCTCTATAAGCCTTTTGGATCTCATCGTGTCTGAGCACAATTGCTTTTTCTCGTATCAGGTGAATCACAAAAACATGACCTGACCAAATAGGCCATATTTCTCGTTTCCTTTCCATTTTCTTTTTCAAATCAAACATCTCTCTGGAAAGCTGGCGCAGCCGGTGCCGAGGCAAAATGATTTCAAACGTTCTTTGTCTCAGTTTTTCACCCGGTTACTCCTTTTGTCTCCGCATCTGCCGTGGACTCCAATCGCCTCTTCTCTGCGCTGGAGAAGTTCAATATGATCTAAGAATTCACGTGAATCACGAACGCAAGTACATTACTTGACTGTTAAATCTTCCTCCGTCCCATCGACATCGACTGATGGGATATTTTGACATCAACGCCTGCAAAACGTTGACAGCTGACCGCGCCACATCCTAACAAAATGACCCAATGCCAATCTAAACCTGCCAGCTTTCCAGTCAAAATAGCTGATTTTTGCCTGCAAAATCGGATTTCTTTATGAAAGAGCCAAACAGAAGCGAATTCGGAGCGTCTCGTGTGGACTCACCCGCCGGACATGGTGGACGTGGTCTGTGCCGCGTGGAGGAGAGTTGCAGCAGGTGCCGTGGACCTCGATATGGCAAAGCCCCGGCTTGTTGTTGAGACGACTTACTTCTCCGATTGAGTCCTCCTCCGCACTGTCTCCTCTCTCCTCTCCTGCTCCCACTTATTCCCCTCACAGGGCGCACTGGAGCGTGGCGCATTGATTTAAACACGTGCGCGCTCACGCGTACAAGCGGCCACACACGCCTGTAGTTTAGTCTCCAAATTATCCTTTGTCTTAGTAACAGTCATTTGGGTGAAAGAGATTCATCTGGGTGTCAGAGCGGGGATGACCTCGATAATAATAGTCGTGCAGACTCCTCTGTGGGCTACACTGCACACTCGTTTTAATGTGGACACACTTGCCCTGGTGTGACACATTTAAATCTCCACTGCATGATTGTGTCTTTTTTGCGTTAAATAACATGCATTACCAACATTATTATAAACATTGTTAACCTTCTGCTTACACTTAATCTCATTGATTTATTCTGCCTGTCAGGGTTCTCACAGCCATACAATGCACTGTTTCTTGTTTATCTTTGATCATTTTCCATTAATTGCAGGGAAAACATCTCTTTGGAATTGAAAATACCATCAGCATTCTGTCTGCACCATAGTGACACCAGTGGTGGAAGCTGACCTTACTAATGTATGCAAAGGAAAATTTAAACGTTGGCCACTATTTGGTGACATTGATGCGGGGTGGTTGGGGTTTGCCACTGGGAAAAATGCATTATTCATAAACTAAATGTCTCCGTCTAATGAGCATTTAATGATTATTCTGCATCAAAGCTTTGATTTGGGTAAATTTCCTGCTTGTTTCTGAGCCAACTTTGTGTAATGAGACTGTGGGAACTCACAACATGCCTTGCAGGAAGCTGCTTTGGGTGAACTCCAAAAGTCAAACTACAGTCACATAAGAGCAGAATTGTATTTAATTTACAGTAGTTGAAGAAGTATTGCTTTTCTTTGGTGAATGCATTCAGAACACTTAAAAATGATGGGACGAAACATGTAAGTTATCTTAAGCTTATGTCTTTCTCATTTTGATGTGATGCATAAGTGTATGCAGGTTAACAAATTCCTGTAAGTCATCATGGATTCAAACTCAACTCATAACTTGATAGATAACTATAAATAAAATGTTAAAGACCCAAAGAATCTTTTTTTTTTCTATTCTTGGAAGAGGACATAAGTCAGTGAATGGAAATACATAGCATAACCTGCATTCATGTATTAAATCAGCATGAGTCATGGACATAAAATAAAGGTCTCATGTAGTTATCTGTGTGATGTATAAGCTTTTATTTGATATTAGACATTGAATGTGTTTGCAAAGTTGTTTCAGGACACTCGATAAAGAGAACAATAAATATCTGTGATTTAATCCAATCATAAGAAGCCAATTAAGTTCTTCCTAGTTCAATGTACAATGATAATGACTGCCGTTTCCAACATGTTACTGGCTGCTTTTTGTTGACCTGTTTTGAGCTCCCTTTACCTATAATGAAACCAATTTTAGGGGGTTGCAAAATGGAACATAAGAGATGAAGGACAAAAAAGCACATAAAGGCCACATAAATTCAACTGTTGGCCTTCATCAACGCACACATCTGAAATTGCCTTTAGCTTCTACTAAAATAATCTTTTTTTAACTGCGTCCTTGAGTAGCCCAATGCAGAACTATTGTATCAAATGTAGTTATTTTCCATTCAGCCTACTTTTTGTTTGTTTGTTTGTTTGTTTGTGGTAAGGACATCTCAATGGTTTGGGGATTCTTGTGACAATGGCAGCAACACTTGGAAATCCTTTGGACATCACATCCTTTGCAGTTCTCCTGGTTTTCATGCGGGGGCGACAGGCTGGAGTCCCAGGGTGGGCGGGACTTTCGAAAAAACACAAATCAGAAAAATTCACATCAGCAGATTTGCAGAGCTCGACATTGAATAATCAGCCTTTGTCAAACAGGATTGCTGAATTGTTTGTTTTTTACAGATCTGGAATAGGCCTCATGTCGTGCAAATAACGTAAAATGACGTGGATATTCAAGGCCATGGACGTAATAAGAATAATCCAAATATTAACGTAGTCATCTTGTCATAACCTCAGGTTTCAATTCAGGAACAGTCAGTGAGTAGGCTGATAGGCCCTTGTCATAATAATAGTCTCTCATAATATCGTTCATTTTCTGTCATTTCACCTCAGATTTCTCACCCCACTCTTTATTAGTGAGTGTCAGTGTTTTTTTCCACGTATTTGTTAAGTGGAGTTTTGTGTCTTTCCTCAGGCGTCGCTCCTCTCCTTCATCCTGCCCCACTTCTCTGCTTTTTCCCCTCCTTCCTCCGCTGAAGGAGAAGTGTTGGAGAGCCCGGCTCAGGCGCAAGTCTCTGTGGGCTGAGCACACTGCTTCAAGGGGTGGAATACCAACGAAAGAAAAAAAAAAGATCCACTCCACGCAGTGTGTCAACAAAAACACGACAGAGAGAAATGTAAAGACCTTTAACTGAGGCTGTGCTGGAGTAGACAACTGTGACCGGGAAAGATGGCGTGGACGCGAACTCGCATGTTCCTCGCCTTGTTTTTGCTGGGGATTTTCCTCTTCGGCGTCTCGGTGGAAGGAGAGCCTGAGAGGGTGCAACAGGAGGAGGAGGAGATGTCCTGTCAGGGCGCGTTCGACCTCTACTTTGTTCTGGACAAGTGAGTCTCCGATCTTATTTATGGCGTTGTAACTTTGTGCGCGCTGCTGGTGGGGAGCGCGGAGCACGTCCGTTAGACGTCCTGTTGCGGCGTAATGTGGGCCACTTTGGAAGGGGGAAACTTGTACCATAAGGCTTCCAAGGTTGGAAACACATCGTTAGCCTTTTCATCGCATCGCCTTTTGTATTAGTTGTAATCACAAAGAAGCTTCTATTGGGGATGACTTCATAGAGAACACACCCAGAATCACCATCCGCGTCCGAAAATGGATCTGTCTCTGATAGCCTATTAACCCGAGAAATAAAAGTTTTTGTGTTTTTTTTATCAGAGTAGGGATTTGATTTTTTTGAGTGTTGGCCGTGCTTTTCTTTTCGTCTGGTTTACAGTGGTTAGTCAAGCAGAGTGAGCTTCACCAACGGGATGTGGGCAGGGCGAGAGCACGGATAGAGTTTCAGCCTGGAGACGCCTGCGGACGCAGCTGCAGACTCAGCCAGCGGGCCCAGGGCGATCCGTTTTAGCCTGTGTCCTCCTCATGTCTTGATTTGATGAACTGGTAATTAGAGGCCTGGTCAGTTATTTATGTCTTCCATAGGGCTTCCTTTCCTTTTTTTTCTTCTTTCTTAGTAGAGGATATCAAATACTTAAACATATTTGATTCCATATTCCAAAAGGCATGGAAGACTATATAGGACAGAGAGAAAAGACTAAAGCCTGTGGAGGAAGAAACACCTGGATAACCGGTCATAAAAGTTATTCAGCATAGTATCTGTCCTCCTCCAGCTTACTTTCTTTTTTAATGAGAAATTTGCTCAGTTCAGTCTACAGAATAGTTTAGATTAATTTGTTTGTTTCCCAAGTAGATTTTAAATAAGCTGTTTGTAGAATTTAGTAGCATCTATGGAAAGAAAAAACTTGACAGCTGCAACTAAATTAGGCAAAAGATGCTTAGTGAGGAATGCAATTACACACCAATAACAACCCAATATAAGAATCTTCCTTTTAAAATATACAAAGCCAATCTTAAATGACCTTCTTCACCTTTTTGTGTTTTGTCAGGTTTGTTTCTTAACAGGAATCGGTGGGTGATTTCAAGGAATGCAGAATAGGATCATGGTAGTAACAAACAAAGATCCCCTGCTTGATTGAAATCACATGACCACTTTCTTTATATAAACTTATACCAAAAAGATAAAGTCCTTCTCGACATTTAAAGGCAACTCGAAGTAACTCAGTTGTTGCTCAGAGATTATAATTGGCATTTTTGTCATGGCTTGGCGCTAGCTGGATGGTGAGGTTATGCACAAGGACAAAGAATAATGACATGTCAACACACGCCAAACGGGCAGAGAAAAACACAGGGATCGAGTCCCCGTATGCCATAATATATGGTTGAATTTGTTGCTCTAATCATGTGGAAGAATAGCAGGTTATGCTGTGGAAATAATGATTATGTTTTCAGAAGAATGAGTGCAGTGATTTATGGCGAAGCAGCTAAACACTGTGGGATCTGCACGCAGCATTCCAGAATAGTCTGAGGTAATAGTTTAAGGCAGTGGCTCTGTGTGAACCACCCAGGGGCCGGGAGGTGGACACACTCAGGGACACTTCACTTTGGCTCCTGCACGTTTGATGATCTTTCAGCATCTTTACCCTTTGCTTCAAAAAGTTTAGGAGGAGCCTGGGGAGGGTGGCATGTCAGGCATGGCCAGGCCTCTGGTGTGTGGTGTGCCTCTGTTTGTTTGGCTGTCTGGACCCGCGAGCTTCTGCAGGCCTTCAGGAAGCAGCTGATCTTTCACTGGAGATAGCAGTAACTCGCTGGCTGTTTTACCGATCTGACATACCACCGGTGACACGATCTGTGACAAGCAGCAGAGTAAAGTCAGAGGGTGATTGGAAAACGCTGACAATTTGAAAATGTATATAATCTTGACTCGAAGCATGAGGAAAACTAAACTAGCCTAAGTTCCACACCTTCAAACTAAATTCCATGTCTGGCCCACACATAATATAACGCTGCATTTTTCTGCTCTCTTAGTCTGCCCACAAATTGAATAATAGGTCCCTGATAGTACGACTGGTTCCTGAGCAAAGAATTGTTTTTTCGAGTGCTAACGTTGTGCATGTTCTGTGCTGAATGCCAGGATGAGGAAGATCTACCGTCAGAACTGAAGAATTCATTCAAAACTGAAAACTGATGGCTAAGGCTTGAGTGATTCCATAATTTTCATTTAATGAACCAAAAATGTCCTCATACATAAGGTATCTAAATGCATTTAAATTTTACAATCCCCCCATTTTAGAGGACATAAATTATTTTCAGATCTGTGAAACTGTGTTGTTACTATTGAAGCACTTACTCTGAGGTAATGCCCGAGTAATGTGTTTGTCCCCAGAGACAAAATATCAAACTGAAAGCCAGATTGTTTTGACATTTTAAGAGCCAGACTTCGGACAGATCAGCATTCTGCCAGCACAACTAAAAATTATCTCTCATTTCTTGACAGTTAATTAACTTGATGTTTTCGCCCTTGATAGATCATTACTCATTTTACGAAGGTAAATTCCTCCTCGGGCATGTTTGCAAATCATCAGTAAACGCTGATGATATTTGACATTAAGATACAATGCTTTTGTTTCTTTTGGGCAGATAACTCTCCTAAGAAGATCTTCCTGAATCAGAGCTTTTATCACCCACTCATTGTAGGGAAGATGATAAGTGGAGGCAAAAGGGCTTTGTTAAATGTGAGATACAAAGGAGCCGACTTGGTTGAACCAGCTCTGGCTTTCAAGCTGCCCATGACCCTCTAATACACCGTGCCCCTTTGCTATGTTTGGTGTAAAAAGTGTTGAATGTTGCATCCTTCGGCACAAACACACACAGACAAACACACACACACACACACAGTTACACGTTTCCCCCCTGATAAGCGTAAAGTCTGGGTCCCTCTGTTGTTCGCGTCACAGCCTTTTTGCTCCCATGGATACCCAACCTGTTGTTGGGCCGGCCATGCACAGTGCCACCATCTGTTCCCCCTCACACTCACACACTTGCACGCTCACACACACGCCTGTACAGTGCGCACACAGGCCAGCTGCTTGCTTCATGGTCCCTGCTAGAGGCAGACTGCTACATCTGTCCCTGTCTTACCTCAACCCTCTGGCCCAGCAGCAATTAGCCCCCATTAGCAGCCCCATGGGACTGACTTTCATTAAGGAGAATGTCATGTTTGTGGCTGCATGTAGCCGGCTAACCAGCAGCTCAGATCTGACAGCCACAGTCCACCATAATGGAATGTGACGAAGTGACCCAGAGAATTTTCATGATGATGGAGAAATACATTTTTTTATATTTAAAAAAAAAGATAATGTCTAATTTTATTTAGCTGCGTTTGCATCGGGTTATCTCTGTAGTTGTAACCCGCTTCTTCACGTGTTCCATGTCCATTTTATTCAAATCAACCATTTTTTCACTTTAATGGTTTTTGTTTGGTTTTTTTAGGTCTGGAAGTGTGAAGAATCACTGGAAGGAGATCTACTACTTTGTGAGGCAGCTGGCCGAAAAGTTTATCAGGTATAGACTGCACTGGTGATTCATGTTCTTGGATGCTTTGTTTTGCATTTCCTCCAGCGTTAAGGAAGCAACTTTTGTATTTATAGCCCCATGCTGAGAATGTCCTTTATAGTCTTCTCCACAAGAGGAAATATCATCATGAAACTGACTGAGAACAGGTAAGACCCTATCCTCACTTTGTTTTCTGTCGGCACCGTTTGTATCTGTGACAGGGAGACAACTTCCCTGCTGGTTTTTTCTTTCTTAAAAGACTACCCCTTTTTTACTGTTGTTTCTTGGAACGGTTTTGTGTTTACCCCACAGGGATGCCATCACCAAAGGCTTAAGGGCTCTGGACCAAGTGATCCCAGGAGGAGACACATGGATGAACCTAGGCCTGGAGATGGTAAGGCTGGGATTTGGGAACTAATTCAAAAAGTCTTTGCTAGCCTGTAAGAATATATTCCAGACAGTCTGCCCTTAAGATTAATTGAACCTGGCAGGCAAAACCAGGACCAATTAGATAACTATAAGGAGTAGCTGGGACTTGATGCTTCTTGAAAGTGCAGATATAAGCACTTCATTTTCTCTGCCGCTCTGTCGAAGCGTTTATGGGTGTTCCAGTGATGAACCTCGCAAGTTCTAATACTGCCTGAAATTGCTCTTATGTGCAGAAGATTAATAGATTTATTCTTCGCAATTGCAGGCTAATTCGCAGATACGTAACGAGAACCATGGGACCGCCAGTGTTATTATTGCCCTCACTGATGGAGAACTGAACGAGTGGCAGTTTGACACAGCACAGCGAGAGGTAATGCCTTTGGCTGAGAAAGTTGTAGAATTAATGTTGTTGATGTTAAACAACTATGACCCAGCTTTTAGCGTCATACTAGGTTATAGCTTCTGGCCTAGCGTTGTGATGTGCGCCGTCTTTGATCAAAATGTTTGAGGATTTTTAGACTGGCAAAGTACTTTTTCAATCACCAGTGCACTGGTTAACCCTTTTGTTATTTTGATCCAGGCACAGGTGGCCAGGTCTCTGGGAGCCATTGTTTACTGCGTCGGGGTCAAAGAATTTAACCAAACCCAGGTAAGCTCTACAAGGAGATGGGGTTTTGAAAATCCAATTAAAGCAAGTTATACAATTTTCTTTCTGCTTTCATGTTTTTATAGCTCGCAACTATTGCAGACAGTATGGATCATGTATTTCCTGTTTGGGGAGGCTTCCAAGCCCTCAGAGGAATTATTGACTCGGTATGGGAAACGCACACACATACACACACACATTGAGTAACATGTGTGTCATTTAGACACCCACACACAGAGAACCGTAAAACATGGTTACATCACTGAAATGTCTCATGTCTGTGTTTTGTATTTGTTGTTTCTCATAGATCATTAAAAAGTCTTGCATTGAGATCCTGGCAGCAGAGCCGTCCAGCGTCTGTGCAGGAGGTAAGAAGAGAACGGGGCATGGGCTTTTGGCTCCTCGTTAAGGCGTAAACTGGTCATGGTGTTTGACTGTGTCAGTCATCTAAAGCCTTTGGAGCCGAACATGGGGCTGAGTAATCGCTTGGACGCTCATGACCGCAGAGTGACAGAGAGCGTATTGTCATCCACGGCCGGGGGAAATTAGCATAGCCGCTTCAACACAGCGTGTGTGCAAAAAAAAAAAAAAAAAAAAGGAAGAGGGGGTGGGTACTGGTCAGAGGAATTAGCCACAAATCTTCAAGCTTGGCTGCATCCCTGGCCTAGTTTGCCACGCTGTATATGCGAAAAATCCTTTTGGATCGTTTCAAGTCCATCATCCACACGACTCTTAGGCTCTTCTCCATTATGACTGCAGTTTAAAGCAGTTAAGAGATGGAGAGGAGATGCTCAGAGAGAGAGAGAGAGAGTCCGGCCCTTTATGGGTAGCCAGCAGAATGGATGAGTTTTGACATGACCTTATTAGGACTCACTTAAGAGAATGCATTTGCAGGCTCGCTACCAGGACAGCTAATGGAGATTAACATCCATTATGGAATATGAGGGATAGGGAAAAGATCATGAAAGATCAGCTAAGAGGAGAGGATGCAACTGTTTTTCCCTTGAATAAAAGCAGATATTTATAAGGAAAAAATAAGTGTTATCCTCCACTAGCAATAAATTCTGTTTTTTAGCTAGAGACATAGTGTGTGTCACTCGACATATGCCCAAATATCCTCCAACAGCCTCATTTATTATTCGATTGATGACTCATCTAATGGTCAGTGAACTAAGAAACCAGGCGACCTGCTTTGACCAAAGCCTGGGTCTGGCCTAATTATCAAAAAATGTACTCACATGCTTAGGGTACTTTTTTTTTACTTGATGTTTAAACATAAGAGACTAGTCTAATCTTTCCTCGTCTTCGAAATTGTCTTAGGAGAAATAACAACAAAGCTTTACAGCCTATTTCTCAAAACTGCTTTTATTTGAATCACAAAATCATTTAGAAAAATACTGTTCTGTTATCAATTCCTACCCTTATTCATCTGTCAGTACATACTAACAATACAAAGACACTGTCGCTCTGCATATATAATGTAACAGCCTCTGCGTTTCTCTTTGCCCGCATATAGTCACATAGCATATCAAACATATTTTGAGCCAACAAACCCATTTAGATGCTCTTTAGTCAGCTAGCGCACATGTCTTCAAGCACATGAACATACGTCCCTCACACTGATGTGAAGTGACCAGACCGAGCTGCCTGCAAACAGGCCATCAGACTGGACAGTGAACGTTGGGCCACACTATCAGACATGACAGCACTGATTCCCAACACACACACACACACACACTGGGAACAGTGAGAGTTCGGCCTTAGATCTGACATGACAGGAGAGATTGCTGCTTTCATTAACGTCTGACCCTCTTCTCCCAGTTGTCGCTTACGTTCTTGCCCCTCCCTGTTTTTTACTGTCCTTTCGCACTAATGTAATTGAAGGTCTGCTGTTCAGACAAGTCAGACCGCATTTTATGCACATACTTGCACAAATGCGAGACATGCATGTGTATCTACATATGTGTGACAATACGCAGAAGCCCTATGACACAATTGAACTCCACGTGTGGCATTTCAGTGGAGATGTAAAGGAGCTGGTGGTTGCAGAGGCAGAGGGCAGCACCACATTGGTGGTACATGTCAGCTGGACACCACCAGCTCCAGCCCACCATGTGTCTGACAGCACTGACCTTTTTGCTCGTCATGCTTTGATAATTGAAGATGTAGACTTTTTCAGTCAAGCACTTTGTATGATTAAAACAAACAATAGAAATCTGACAAATATGATAATGCTGTAAATTAGGAATAGCATTTTTGCCATCTTTAGTTTGCAGACATGGAAGCCTTATACTTTTTCAATAGACAAATCTATACAAAAAGTGGTGCACTTCTTTATCAGTCATGAACAATTATTTTTTGTGGTATTTTGTGGGTTTCTGAGTCTGCACTCTGCCATAGTGCAACAAAGCTTGTTTGACGAAAACATTGAATGAAAGGAGATTGCAAAATCAGGCAAGTCTATATTATATTATATTATATTATATTATATTATATTATATTATATTA